TGCTGTACTTCCTATTTTTGTCTCAGCTATATTCTCATCAAGTTTTTTAATGTTAGTTTGCAAAGTTTCATCCCTTTCTTTAAACTCTCTTCCCTCCGCATTAATAGGGGGATTAGAGTCAAGTTCAATTAATTCAGTTTCCAATTTACTCTGTATCTCTTTAGAATATCTAATTATGAGTTGTATTAACTGAAAAGAACAATTGGTGAGAATTTCATCCCATTCCTGTAGGAAGAGGTCATCTTCCAGTCCAAAAGCCGGTGTTTTATCTATTCTTAGATATTTATCTATTCTATTCCCCCAGCCACACGTATCGGATGACCGCAGATTTTAAGGAGGAGAAAAAGGATGCCGTTAAAGCCAGCAGGATGATCTGAAGAAAATAAAGGACCTGTGGGAGTATATTCATTTTGAGCACTGATATTCGACCATGCCACGTCACATGTGGGTAAGCCCATTTATCGAGGTCTTCCAGCAGCATCTTCAGCAGGGGAATGAAGTTATGTTGGTACATGTCTCGTGGGTCTGAGGTTACCCAACTTTCAAGTTACTTCATTTTTCCAAAGCACCAGTGGATCCAGGGTAGTATATTCCTCGGCAGGTAGGGTTATGTTCAAAACTTCACATTTTGACAGGTTAAGTTTAAAACCCAAGATTCTGCCGAATTGTTTAAATTCCAAGAGGAGGCAGGGCATCGTGGTCCGAGGGCTAGCAATGAAAAAAAGAAGGTCGTCCGCATAGGCGGCGACCTTATGTTCCACCCCTTGCCAGGTGTAACTCTGGATATCTGGGTGCTGGCGCAGTGCCTGGAGCAGAGGTTCCAGGGACATAGCGAATAACAACAGAGATAAGGGGCACCCCTGCCTTGTTCCATTATTGATCCCAAAGCCCCATTGACCCTTACCGCAGCGCGTGGTTTGCTATACAAGGCAGTGATCCAGACAAGGAGTCTCTGTCCCAATCCCATTTTCCTCAAGGTGGCTCATATATAAGACCAGTTCACACGGTCAAACGCCTTTTCAGCATCAGTTGAGAGTAATACGAGGTGTTGCCGTGACTTCCTCGTGTGGTGTTGGATTGTGGACAGCCATAGTGTGCTATCTCGTGCCTCTCGCCCTGGAATAAACCCTGTCTGGTCAGCGTGTATCAAAGATGGCAAGACGAACTGGAGTCTAGACGCCAAAACCTTTGTGAACAGCTTGGTGTCCACATTCAGCAGTGAGATTGGGCGGTAGCTGCTACAATTCAGTGAATCTTTTCCAGGTTTTAGCAGAACAGTTATGGTCACAGCCAAAGACTCTGCCCCGAAGGTCCCCCACTCTGCAACAGCGTTAAGGGCTTTCGTTAACCATGGCATGAGCACCGTTGAGAAGTTCTTGTAATATCCCATGGAGAACTCGTCGGGGCCCAGTGCTTTGCCCGCTTTGGTCTTCTTCAAAGCAGCAGAGAGTTCTTCTATGCTAATCTGGGCATCCAATATTGCTGCCGTGTCCGGACTCGCCTGTCTCACAACATTGACATTTAAATAGTCATGTATGTGAATGGTTTCTGTCGCTACCATGCTGTCTCCACCTGGTGTGGTCAGGTTGTATAGGGATTGATAGTATGTCCTAAATTCTTCTGCTATATCATTCAGAAAAGATGATGTGGTGCCCGTTGATAAGCGCAATTTACAAACCGGCATACGGGGAGTGTTACCTTTTAAAAGACGAGCGAGGAATCTACCCCCTTTGTTGGCATGGGCATACAAAAAACCCTTGGAGTGAAGATACCTTCGCTTTAGGAGTTCCTTTAGCTGTCTTCTAGCTCGCATCGGCTCCCTGTAGGTTTACATCAACTGAGAGCGATTATGTTGGGTTCCAGGGTTGAGATTGATTTGTGAAGGTGAGCCATCTCCCTTAGGGCTACCTTTTTTTTTTTTTTTTTTATGGGAAACGATACGTATCAGTGTGCCCCGAATGACACTCTTATGGGCCTCCCAAATTGATAGTGGTGAGGTGTCCGACGTACCATTTTCCTGAAAGTAAAGGTCCAGTGCTTGGGAGACCAGCTCCCGGACCTCTGGTTCCAAAAGCAAGGCCTCATTGAGCCTCCATGTCCAGGCCGAGGGTCGAAATAGGGGAGACTCAAGCTCAATGCTAATTGAGCCGTGAACCGACCAGGTGGCTGGCTCTATGGTGGCTTTTAATAAGCGGGAAAGGCCCTCCTATCTGATGAAAAGGTAGTTGATACGGGAGTATCGGTCATGAAGTGCAGAATAATGTGTGAAGTCCTTGACGTTAGGGATAAGGGCCCTCCAACAATCCACTAGGCCCATGTTTCCCACAGATCTACGTATGGAGTGAATGCTTATTTGGGAGATGCTACTGTGTCCCGACGAGGAGTCAAGTATTGGGTCCAGGGGAGCGTTGAAGTCTCCCCCTAGGATAAAGGTACCTTCCGCAAAGTCTTAGCCAGCGTTCCCCTGAGAAATTGTGCCTGCCGTCTGTTGGTTACATCGATATTTGCAAATGTCTAGAGTTTACCGGCAATGGAGCCCTTCAGGAAGAGAAAGCAAGTAAATCATGTGAACGGTCTAGTTCCTGAAACCCTAGGTCTGCTGTCAGTATGATGGCGACTCCAGCCTTACGGGCTGAGGGATGATTGCAGAAGTAGTTGGCTGGATAGGATCTGTTCTGGAGCTTGGGGGCCACTTCTCGAAAATGTGTTTCCTGCGGCATAGAAACCGAGACATGTTTTTTCTTCAGTTCCCGTAAGAGGTGGACTCTGCGCTCTGGGATGTTCAATCCCCTACAACTAAGAGTGAGGACAGACAGGGAAGCGCCATGGTAATCCTGGACCCAGGACTAGCATATGCCCAAGACACCCCACCCGCTCCTCACGTTCCCTGGATCCTGCAATGGCCACCCCGAAAGAGCCCCACCCCCCTGGCACAGACCAATAAGGAGGAAGAGTAAAAGAGCAGAAGAAGGAAAGGATAATATAGGGAAAGAAAAGAATTAAAAGATAAGAGTAGAGAAGAAGAAAATATAAAAAATGAGACAAGTGCCCAAGAGGTGTCCTGAAACTTCTCCCTCCGTATGTGAGGGGACTCGTGCTACAACAAGAGGTGCTAGGGACACGCCCTGATAAGCAGACCAGGGTGCGGTATCTCCTACAACCCTGCCGTAATAAATCTCGCATGAGTGTGGTTCCGCCCAAGTAAATTACAACAATGTAAATTCGGAACAAGTCCGCTCCACATCGTACCCCTTCATGCGTATATCCAGTGTAAGTAAATTACAACAATATAAATTCGGAACAAGTCCGCTCCACATCGTACCCCTTTGTGCTTATATCCAGCGTTAAAAAAAGCGCCACTCACTTAACCAAATACATGCATAAGTGACATACCAGCAAGAAGAGAATAAATGTAAAAAAACTCAAATTTCCCTCCCCCGCCAATCACCCAGGTCTCCAGGATGATACCCCCCCTCCTCCCTGGTCCATGCTCTCTCCCTTCAATGGTCGCTTGGTTTGTCCTAGCCTCATGAGTTGTGCAAATCCCCATTCTTCTTCCCCCCCAAATCACTTTCCCTCCCACCCCCCCAGGGGATCCCAACCAGTATACCCCACCAACGTCATCAGTACCTGGGTAGCGTTAAGAGACCTATATGGGAGTGAGAGAAGGAGCGACATGCCCCCTCTCCCCATGCACCTTGTGGAAGGCCTTACTCCCTAGTAAACCTCAGGTAGTGTATCAAGCTGGAGTAATTGTGGTGGGTTGGGAA